TTAGACAATAGTGCAGGAAAGACGGATTTTATTTTGTGCATCTTGTTTCTGTGCGCACGTGCGTGTGTGGTCGCGATAGAAATCGTATTTCTGGCTGTGGATGGTGTTAAGAAAAGACCAAGAAACACTTGTGTAGATCACGCTTTCCCCAACTCTATATTAAACCGCCAGCTCGGAGAGTGACGAAACATGTTAGCATATTAAAGACCCTGGAGATTCCTGCAGGAAAGAGATTTGTTGGCTTTGCTGACCAAGTGCATGAATTGTCTCCCTCCTTTCCCTGAATGTTTACGCTACTATCTCACGGAACCAGTATTTCACAGAACGTAGGCCTGGAAGGAATTTGAAGAGTCCTCTAGAATTTCCTCAGGGGTGTTAGTGACAGGGTAAGAGGGCGTCTGCCTCAGCAAGAACAGAGCTGGTAAGTCAGATCATCGGTTTCCAAGTAAGATTTTGCTTGAAAAAGTCCTCTTGCCGAAAATGTTTAAGAACTACAAGTCTAGTCCAAATCTCTCATGGGAAACGGAGGCCTAAAGAAGGGAAGTGACTAGAGCAGGCCACCTGGGGGGGTCCTGTTAGAGTTGGGACCCCGTTTACTGAGTTCTTTTTTTTTTAATGTTTTATTTATTTATTTATTTATTAAAAAAAATTTTTTTTTCAACGTTTTTTATTTATTTTTGGGACAGAGAGAGACAGAGCATGAACGGGGGAGGGGCAGAGAGGGAGGGAGACACAGAATCGGAAACAGGCTCCAGGCTCTGAGCCATCAGCCCAGAGCCTGACGCGGGGCTCGAACTCACGGACGGCGAGATCGTGACCTGGCTGAAGTAGGACGCTTAACCGACTGCGCCACCCAGGCGCCCCATGTTTTATTTATTTTTGAGAGGGAGAGAGAGACGGAGCAGGAGCAGGGGAGGGGCAGAGAGAGACACACACATAGAATTTGAAGCAGGCTCCAGGCTCTGAGCTGTCAGTACAGAGCCCAACGTGGGGCTTGAACCCACAAACCGTGAGATCATGACCAGAGGCAAAGTTGGACCCTTAACCAACTGAGCCGCCCAGGAGCCCCTGCTGAGTTCTTAACTGTAAACTTTCTGACTCTACCTCCAGGGTGAGGTAAACACTGGTGCAGGGGGGCTGGAGGTCTAGAGTCTGGGGGCAGTGGGGGGGCGGGCATCAGAGGGCCTGGCCTTGTCCCTCTTCCCTTGCTCTGTTGCTGACCTTTTGAGAATGGTTTGACTTCTCCGTCTGTAAGATGGTGAGTAAGGATACTACCTTAAAAATGAGATAATTTGTGGCACTTTGAAAAGACAGGTATTGTATAATAAATACAAGGAAATTATTTATTTTTTCTAAGCCTCAGAAAGGAAATTCTATAGTACTAACCAGGAAGTTTGTAGCCTCATTGTACTGTAACTTGATGAAAACTTTGTTGTCCAGTTCTAAGAAAAGTTGCTCATTACTATGTTAAAAAAATAAGGATGTTTAGAAACTCCTCTTTTGTCCAAATAAAACTCAATTATTGTTTTCCCAGAGGTGACTTTGCCTAGATTGTATTCAAACTAGCAAAGAATGCCTACTCCTTGTCCACGGGGGTTTAAAGTGAAGTTGGTTTACATCCAATAGCGTCTTTTTTTTTTTTTTTTTTAATTTTTTTTTTTCAACGTTTATTTTTTTATTTTTGGGACAGAGAGAGACAGAGCATGAACGGGGGAGGGGCAGAGAGAGAGGGAGACACAGAATGGGAAACAGGCTCCAGGCTCTGAGCCATCAGCCCAGAGCCTGACGCGGGGCTCGAACTCACGGACCGCGAGATCGTGACCTGGCTGAAGTAGGACGCTTAACCGACTGCGCCACCCAGGCGCCCCTCCAATAGCGTCTTTCAACAGTGCTGTTCATTCAGCTTTTGTTAGACAGATATATGTTTGCATTGTGTGTGATTGCTTGTACTTCCGATCGTCTCTCTGTCCCCTGCCACCCTGCTCCTTGTCCCTGGAAGCTATTTTCAAGGGACTCCATCAATGGTTTTCCTGCCTTTGGCACCTGGTTGAGGTCGGCCTAATGGAAGCCTGGCAGGAGCTCAGAGGGCAGAGGAGAGTGGGTCTGGGGTATTTGTTCCTTGGCTGCTTCCTTGTACTGAGGGTCACAGCTCCCTGCTGTGTAGGGTCTATTACCTGCTCCCTCCTCTGGGTCTGGCCTGGGGTAAATGTCCCATAGACTGATCCTCTATTCCACTCTGATTATACTTCTGAAATTCCTTTATTAACTCTCTCCAACTGACCCAATTTGAGTGAGACGTCTATTTTCTGCCGAGACTTTGACTTTCACGTTGTTTCATATACACGTTCTCGTGTTTCACATTTTCTTGCCTTTTTCTGTTCAGTGTCACAAAATGTGCGAAAGTATAGAAGACTCAAATTTTTCTTTCTTGTGTATCCTTTGTGTTGAGAGGCAGCAGTAAGCAGGACATCACCCTGGGGTGCTTTCAAAATCACTGATGCCTGAGCCTCCCCCAGAGATTCTGATCACTGGGTCTGGATGGGGACCCAGTGTCCCGTTACCAGGATCTCTATCTCTGTGTGGGACCCACGGACGTAGGGAAGGAAGTCTGGCTCTGTAATTTGTTTCTGCCAGGTCTGCTCGCTGGGTCTTAGTGCCGTGTGTGTGTGTGTGTGTGTGTGTGTGTGTGTGTGTGTGTGTGTGTTGGCACCTCCACTCTCTGACCCTGGATCTTATATTGCTTTTTCTAATGCTGATTGCAGCAGCTGATGGTCTGAAACTTTGGTTCAGACCACACACACCGCTGCCCTCTTGTGGACATGGGCACAGCTGTGTCGGCGGGCCGAAGTGGCCGCCTGTAGTATTATCTTCTTGCCACCCACGTCAGGACGGAATAGGGTTTCAAGATGCAGTTCAGTCAAGAGTAGGAGGAGGCTGCCCATAACCACTCCCAGAAGAGACTATGTCCTGTTCTCTAACAGCCTTTGGTAAAGAGCTCCTCTTAATTCCTGTGCATTCTTCTTTTAACAGTTTCTTAATTTGTTTAGGGTTAGCTCTCCCTGAGGAGGGGTGGGGTGGATTAATTGCCGTGCAGAAAGGTAGAGCGTTTAGGAGACAATTGAAAAGGGCCACAAATGAGCCTCTGGGAGGCAGAGTCTGCAGATCAGAGTGAATGAGTCCTGGGACAAGGGAGTTTGCTGTGACTGGCCAAGCTGCTGAAATGCCGTACCCGCTCTCCTCCCTGGAGCCTCTTCCTGTGCCTTGTCTAACTATCACCTGGAAATTCCCTCCTCTGGCTTCAGCCTCCTCTTGCCCGGGTCTCCTGAACTTGTCAGTTCCTGCCTCTAAGCGCTGCTCCTGGCCTGTTTTCTGCCACACACCTGTCCCTCTGTCCCCTTCCATCCAGTAGACGTCCACTGGCCCCTTCATAAGAGAGTTGGTAGCAATCCATTAACTGTTTTCCATCAAACAATTCATGTGATATATTGTGCATTAATTACTAGAATGTTTTAGATCATATTATCATTGTTAGCAGTGATGTAAGAGGAAATATGCATTAGTGATTAGTCTATTTTGTATCAAATAATTTTTATTAATTTCTTGAGGGCAGATCTAAGAAAAAAAGGATAACTGTGCTCTTAAGAAGTAGATGTAATTTTGACCATTTAAACTTACATTAAACAGGGGCGCCTGGGTGGCTCAGTTGGTCAAGCAGCCGACTTTGGCTCAGTCTGTCATCTCAAAGCTCGTGAGTTCGAGCCCCGCATCAGGCTCCATGCTGACGGCCTAGAGCCTGGAGCCTGCTTCAAATTCTGTGTCTCCCTTGCTCCCTGCCCCTCCCCTGCTTATGCTCTGTTTCTCTCTCTCGCTCTCAAAAATAAACAAACACTGAAATATTTATAAATTTACGTGAAACAAATTTTTGTGCCATATTTGGAGAACTCTTATCATGATTTTGGGTTATCCTTGCTGTCTGCCGTCACTCGTGTGCTACCATTATCTGGGTTAATGTGAGCCCGCTCACTTGTTCAGTAGTGTTTTTTGAGCACTGACCCTGTGCCGGGCACTGTTGTAGGTTCCAGGGAGGGAGCAAGGAACAAAACCGTCTCTGTTCTCAGATTCTGATGGGAAGTTAATGTATATATATATTTGCTTCAACAGTTCCTTCTCAAGTTTTGGAACTAGGACCAATCCCTCAAGCTCCTTTTTGGGGGGGGGGTGGGTGTCAATTTTTGGGAATACTTTGCTCTTCATTGGCAACTTCTGGCGATGGAATTCGATGAACTGTTCACAATCTAGTAATTTTTCTAGTAGCTGAGATCGCAGTAGGAAGAGGAGAAAGGGTTGGACGAGTTTTCACGGGGCCACTGCTGTGGGTGTGAGTCGGGCTGCATGGAGCACGGCGGTGCACACCTTGGGCCCTGCAGACACAGATCTGGCCCCAAATTCTGGTTTTGCCACATATGTATGTGTAACTGCATGACTTTGGGCCGTTCACAACCTTTCTGAGGCTCATTCTCTGCCGGCTCCCAACCCTACCTCCCACAGAGGAGAAAAGTGATAATAATCTACCTAAGTGGCTCTTGGAGTGATCATCAGGTGAGATTATATATATATGTGTGTGTGTGTGTGTGTGTATATTTATGTAGTGCTTAGTGCAGCGAGTGTCTGGAACAAAACTCAATATGATAGCTGTCACTACTAAGTATAATTTAGTGTTTCTTCCTCCCTACCACATTTACTGAGGTATGATTAACCAATAAAAACTGGATATATTGAAGACGTACAACATGATGTTTTGGTATGCATACACATGGTTCAATGATTGCTACAACTAAGCTAATTAACACATCCACTATCTCACGTAATTGCTAGTGTGTGTGTGTGTGTGTGTGTGTGTGTGTGTGATAAGAACACTTGAGATCTACTCTCTTGGCAGATTTCAAAAAAAATTTTTTTAATGTTTATTTTTGAAGGAGAGAGAGAGAGAGAGAGAGAGAGAGAGAGAGAGAGAGCAGGGGAGGGGCAGAGAGACAGAATCCAAAGCAGGCTCCAGGCTCTGAGCTGTCAGCACAGAGCCCGACGTAGAGCTCAAACAGGAATGGTGAGATCCTGACATTATGGGGACTTCTAGATTAATTGCACTGTAGTCAGAGAACATATTCCACATAGTCTGGCAAGTGCTGAGACAAGGGAAATACAGGTTGATACTGGAGCGTAGAGCAGGGACACCTGACAGTCTAGGCAGGCTACCTGGAGGAGGAGTGACTATTAGGCACAACACTGAAGGATGAGTAGGGCCCTGGTAGAAAAGGCGTATATGTATGCTTATGTGTGTGCTGGGAATATAGCAGCAGAGGGACCTCAGTCTTATGGGGGAGACCCTTACTTGGACAGGACAGGTTCAATGTAATGTAGTAAATGTCATGACCGAGGGAAGCCTTGAAACTGGGATTGTGGCAAAGTATAGCGGTTCTGTTTCATGAAGTTACGGATAGGTAAAGCTAAAAGGTATGGTCAAGTTTGTTGGGGTCAGCCCTGGGTTCGGATACTCTTTTGCCTCTGAATAATTTTACCACCGTCTAGATATTAAAATTCTTAAAGCCTCAGTTTCCTCATCGATGCACCGGGGGTACAAATATCCCCGCCTGGCGGGATCGACAGGATGTATCTGAGATTCATCAGATACAATCAAGCAATTAGCAAAAGGCTGGTGTCAGGGCTCTGTGAGCGGGAGTGGTTTTAATCCCTGGGTGTGAGTTCTTATGATGTCACTCTGGGTGCCTGGCCCTCAGAGGAACTCTGAGGTCCCTCTGTCACTGCAGAATACCCAGGAGGCAGCGGTGGAGAGGACAAGAACACCCAGGAGCCCCGACCGGAAGGAGCCCACGAATACGGTGTGCTGTGGCCAAGGCAGAGCCGTCCAAGCTGGTGAGTGCTGAAAAGCCACATGTGCAGAGCACCTGGCCTGGAAGAATGGCCTAGAAGCTTGTCCAGATTCGGCAGGAAAGAGCATTCAGATCAGTGCTGTCTGCCCTGAGTGACAGGGGAGGGTGGCATGTGGGTCATGTATTTTCTACCCCTGGAACTTGGCAGGAACACCTAATACTTGTTGCATGCTTATTTTTTTTACCACACACCATGCTAAGTTTTTTTTTTTTTTTAATTTTTTTTTCAACATTTATTTATTTTTTGGGACAGAGAGAGACAGAGTATGAACGGGGGAGGGGCAGAGAGAGAGGGAGACACAGAATCGGAAACGGGCTCCAGGCTCCGAGCCATCAGCCCAGAGCCCGACGCGGGGCTCGAACTCACGGACGGCGAGATCGTGACCTGGCTGAAGTCGGACGCTTAACCGACTGCACCACCCAGGCGCCCCCCACGCTAAGTTCTTTACGCGGCTTGTATGGTTTAACGCTCTTAACCCTATAAGGCAGGGACTCTTACTCGTCTTATTTTACAGATGCGGAATCTGGCACAGAGAGGGTAAGTAACTTGCCTTCTGTCTCACAGTCATTGGTTGTGGCTCGTCTCCACCACGTTTCACAGTCTATTGAGACTGGAAGCGCTTTGAAAGGAGGGGCACGATTGTATCTATTTTGGACCCTCCGTGGCCTCGTAGGTGTTTGGATGGTTTTCATTGCTACACTGAACTCAGTGGTTCTCGCTGGACACACGGTCGCCTGGGATGTTTCAAAAGCTTCTCGCATCTGGGCCCAACCTCACATTACTTGCATCTGGGTCTCTGAGGTTAGGGCCTGGGCATCTGTGCCTAGGGAGTCTCAACAAAGCTGAGAAACGTTGGGCTAAATAAAATTCTTTGTCAAACTGCAAGCCTTTCTTCCCGCCTCTTGGCACTGGGGGGTGCTGTGGGATAGTCTAAAAAAAAAAAAAGTATTTCCTTTAACCCAAGGAACACATTTCTTTTTGTTTGCAAATTTGTTTTGTGTATCTCCTCTCAGGGGCTTGGTAGAAAGCTTGTCAAGACAGGTAATGGCCTGAACTAGCCTCTTTGTGGCTCTTTTGAAGGTGGACCACTGAAATCTAAGCAGGCAGACCTAGAAAATTTCTGCAGTCTGCAGTTCGTTTTGTTTTCAGCCTTCCTTCAGGAGCAGTTGGTCTGTGCTCAGGACGAAGAGGTTTGCAAGGAATCACTTGAGGTGTGGCAGGCTGGACAGCCACCCGGAAGGTGTCCCTGTCTAATCCCCAGGACCCGAGACTGTATGACCTTACATTGCGAAGGGAGATTTGCAGATGTGATTAAGTTAACCATCTTGAGATGGGAGGCTATCCTGGTGGGATAACCAGGGTTCTCACAAGCCACAAGCCTTAAAAGCCAGAAGAGGGAGCAGAGGGTTGGATCAGAGAGGGAGATAGAGGAAGGAGGCAGAGTCAGGGGGCACTCTAAGACCCTAGGCTGCTGAGGAGGAGGGGCCACAAGCCCCGGCTGAGGGCAGGCTGTAGAAACTGGAAAAGAGTTTTCCTCTAGAGCTTTGCAAAGGAACTCAGCCCTGCCGACACCTTGGCTTTAGCCTGCTGAAGCCCGTTTTGAGTCTCTTTCGGATAAAAGGAGGTAAGTATTCCACAAGAGCTCTCTTTTACTGCCTTGGTCACCTCCTTGATGTTTGACTTCGGAAACACGCTGTGAGAATGTGAGGTCTAGGGATACAGCAGCCATTTTGGGACCATGAGGTGAAAAAAAAATCCATGCAGGACACCCTGACCTGTCCTTGGGATTCGAGACCCCTGTTAGCTCAGTCCTGCAGTTACACTTCACCTTCCCGAATAGGCCTTCAATTACTGTTTCAGGAGCCACCATTTCTTACAGAAAATCATAGAAAACCAATAAATACTTAATTGAATGCCCCAGGCTCTGGGCTGGGACAAAGGCACAGAGGAAACAGGCCTGTTCTGGAGGAGTTTGCAGTCTCTGTCAATCAGATTTCCTTTGGTTGCAAGTGCCAGAAACCCAGCTTTGCAGTGGTGAGGGCAGGAAAATGAGGCAGGACATAAACCTGAGGACCCAGTCTGGTGCTTAAGAAGTATCAGTGTTCTTCTCATAGTGAGGACTTCAGTTTAGAAAGCTCTTTCACACGCTTCTCATCTCTGTTTCCACCTGCACAAAGATCTTGAAGATAAGAAGAATAGAATTGTGCAGGGCACCTGGATAGCTCAGTCGGTTAAGCGTCCGACTTGGGCTCAGGTCATGATCTCACGGTTTGTGGGTTCGAGCCCCGTGTTGGGGTCCGTGCTGACAGCTCGGAGCCTGGAGCCGGCTTCAGATTCTATGTCTCCCCCTCTCTCTGCCCCTCCCCTGCTTGTGCTCTCTCCTTCAAATAAATAAATAAATAAATAAATAAATAAATAAATAAACATTAAAAAAATGAAGAAGAATAACATTGTTGTTCTCAATTTGCAGGGGAGGCAGCAGAGACCCAGATTTTGAGATCCTTCCTCAGGGGCACTGAAAGAGGCAGGGTGCTGCCATGGCCCCAGGTTTCCTGATTTCTGCTTTTTTTTTTTTTTTAACCCCTCATAGATCACACAATGTCAAGACTGGTAAAAATCCTTAGAAATTATCTAGCTCAGGGATGGCAAGTAGGTTTTACTTATTTTATGTGCCAGTTCTGGCCTCTGGTGACAATGGCCTGAAGCACTGGATTGTGTCCTACTTCCTGGGAAAGGGTGCTGAGATTGATTAGTAATGTCTTCATGGGCTTTGGTGAGTGAGCTCATGGGGCACAGACACATACTTGCTGTAATTCACCTAATCTAACCTTTCATTTAAACAACAAAGAAATGAACCTCAGAGAAGGGAACTGACTTACTCAAGGTTATACAGTGAACTAGGGGCAGAACTGGGACCAGTGGGTTTTCTCATTGACAATCCAGCTGCCAAGACTGCCAATCAGACTTAAGTATGTTCTTCCCACCTCAGGATTTCCACTGTTTACCTCACCGAGGTAACCTAGACCATTAGAGGCCGTAGGTTCTAACCCCAGCTGTGGCGCTGTGTAGCATTAAACAAGTTGACTAATCTTTTTGTGCTAACAGATAAATCTGCTTCCCCTAGATAGCTTCCTTTATCTCAAAGAAAATGCACACTTTGTGCGTTATCAACTAGACTAAGAAATGTCAGCCAAGAAGGTCAAAATGAAAGAAACATGGTGGCTTAGCATAGCCTCGACAGGCAGCCAGAGTTGGTAAATCGGGCTCTCCTTGTCTCTTCCGGGGCCGTAAACTTCAGGGGAAGGACAAAGGGCTAGATTTGCCCTTTGCAAGAAATAAAACAAAAGAAGCAATCCTTTTATTTCTCGGGGTACAGAACTCTGGCTTGATTCTATTACATGTGACTGGGCATTCCAAAGAATCCCGTTTTCCCATGCCCTTTGCAGGTGGGATGGGTTGCTCTCTGGTTTTCAAGTAATTTTATAAGCCCTGGGCCCCTGGGGTTTGGAGGGAGAGCAGTGACCCAGGCTGACGTGGGAAACTCTGGCTGGCCATTCCGGTCAACTGTAGACTCCTTAGCACGGGGATGTATGAGTGGCTTGTAAACTGTGAAGCACCTTCAGATGAGAACTAGAACTCCTGTAGTCTGAGCAACAACATAAACTGAACATAATTTTTTTTTTCACTTTTCAGAGATGGGCATGCGGGAAGAGCAAGGAGTCCATGGAAATTCTGCTTGTTAGTGATGGTGAACTGGAGTGGCCTGGATATTTGAATCAGCACCCTGGGTTTTTCAGCAGATACTGGGGTTTTTCAGATATTTCCGAACTACACAGTCCTCCCATGTTATCATCCTGTTGACTTTCCACAGTGAGTGGAAGGGGTCATTCTCCCTATTTTAGAGAAGAGGAATGGAAGTCCAGGGAGGCTGAGTGACTGGGGAGCAGGTCAGGTGGCCAATCATCGGAGAGGCTGTGATGTGAACTTGGCTTTTTGGGTGCTGAACCCAGCAGTGTTTCTTATCTCGTGGTGGTGACCTTTGCAGGGTGGCTGGTTTATCTGGCGTTCTGGTGGATCGGAGGTCAAGGCCAGGGGAGAGGCCTGTGTGGTTAGAGCAGCTGGAGATGTTGAACTTGGGGTGGGCTTGTATCGGTGGAGGGCGGGGCGGCCAGGATTCTGGGAGCAAAGGACATGGCACAGCCTGGGAGCCAGGACATGGCACTATCAGGAGCTGATAGCCAGGTTTGCTGTCAGCTGCTATTTACTGAGTTGTTTCTTTGGCAGGGGGGTGGGGGGGCGGGTAGGGAGGGGGTTGGTCAGCCAATGTGTTAATTTGTGGGCAAACGCCATTATTTTTAGGGTGTGAAACCTGAGTCAGGGAGGCTGAATACCTTGGCCAAAGTCGCACGACAGAGCAAGGGACGGAGTCCCGATTGCAAAGCTGCCGTGTCAGCTCTGAAGCCTGTGCATCTGACCACCAGGTAACACCAGAATTGTGAGCCTGTAAAGGTGCAGTGTTGGGAAATAAATTTATAAAAATCGGCCGGGGCCAGTTGGGGAGGCTCTGAGAGGCCAGATTAAGGAACTTGGGGCATTGTTGTCTTCTGGGCAGCAGGGAGCCACTAGATGGGAAAGACAGGCAGAGTCTGCCCCTCCTTCCCCCCTCCAATGAAGTTTTACTTGTTTTTTTATTAAAAAAAAATTTTTTTTTTAAATCTTCATTTGTCCCTGAGAGAGAGACAGAACATGAGCTGGGGAGGAACAGAGAGAAAGGGAGACACAGAATCCGACGCAGGCTCCAGGCTCCGAGCTGTCGGCCCAGAGCCCGACGCGAGGCTCGAACCCACAAACCGTGGGATCGTGACCTGAGCCGAAGTCGGCCGCCCAACCGACTGAGCCACCCAGGGGCCCCTAAAATGGATATTTTACTTGTAAGTCAAGTGGGCACACACATGGTAATTGCTTCCGCCCCATTTCCACGGGCTCTCGTGCCGCTTCACCCCCTCTGAGAGGGATATCGCTGTTCCCACTGCACTCTTCCAATTTCTTTTAAAAATAAAATAAAAATTATTTAAAAGCCTCTTTTGGCCTCATAAATTCTGGAGCCATTTTTGCCGAGAGTTTGGCAAGGCTCCTGTGAGGGTGCAGAGGGACGGCCTTGGGCTCGGCCGACTTTTGAATCCCTCTGGCCAGCAGCCCGTGTAAGGCTGTTCCCCGGGGACTGCGCACTTTGGCGGCCCCAACTTACTTCACAGGCCCCTAAATAGACCTTGTGGGTTTCAGTGCTCTCACAGGGCCTCTCTGGAGAGAAGAGTGTTCCTAAAACAAAACCTCGGATGACATTCACGGATGTCCAGCTCATCAGGCATGCCGCCGAGGGACTGACTCCCCAACGTCCTCCCAGGTGGTCATCACTGATGCTGCAGGGTCGGCCGGACTCCTCGCTGGCCTCATGCGTCAGAGCAGAGGTGGCCGTGAGGGATCTGGGAGCTTGCCTGGACCTGTGGTCGAGGTGTGATGTGCGCGCGGTCATGGGTGTGACAGAACTGGCCGAGACGTGTCCTTCACTGGAGGTGTGGCTTCGTATCTGTGCCCTCCTGCCCCCATCACATGTGATGGAGCATATCTGTGGATTGCTTTATACTTGAGAAGGATGCAACGCATTCACGAGCTCACTGGATTTTCACACAGCAACTCCAGGAAACCCACGCTCTTATCTGAAATGTATACGTCAGAGCACTGAGCCCTGGAGGGTATCTCTTGGACAAATCCCAGTGTGCTATCCTTCTTCCCTGCAAACGTGGGATCGGGTAAAACTGGATTTTAAAGGCTGTTGAGTCAGGCACGACAGGGAGCGATCTTTAGGAACACCCCAGGGTGTGCTGCTTAGCCGAGGGGCTGTATGCTGGATCATCTGCCATTTGTCCTTCCAGCCCCATTCTCTTCTCTTCTTTGCCCTGTGCCCTGGGAAGTTGATCCTGAAAGACTGCTTCTATGGGTTCCATTGCCCTGTGGCTTCTTCTGGTTGGAATCAGACAATGGCCAGCACCGGTAGGAGATTGGGGTGGCAGGAGGGGGGCATCGCAGGGTATTCTCCCAGCCAGGAGACCATGGCTAAGTTCAGGGAGCCTTGCTCCTGTGGACCCCAGGGCATTGCAATACTCCTTGTTGGTTTCCTTACACTGGGCTCGCATCTTTAAGAAGAGCCCCTTTTTGCACTCCCCGCCCCTGTTGCAGATATCATGTACGACCTGAATCTGCTGGGAGCTCATACAATTGACTATGCAGGTAGTGAGCGGACTTGAAAAAGCAGTTTGTCACATGCCTTGAAGAGAGTATTGAGTGTAGGCATCTGCTCTTGATCGGCAGGCTGAGTAAGGACCGGCTGTGTCTCTCCCGGCACTAATTGGTGGACTTGAATCATCTCTCCTGACAGATAGCTTCTTTTCCTCCAGTTCCTGCCCCGTCAGGAATTTTCCACATGGTAGGGTTTCCAGATAATGAAATGTCCACTTGAGAGGCTCTGACTCTGACAGAGTGGCTCAGGGGCAAGTTGGGTGTCTCCTGGTGCCGGCGGGGGCCGTTTTGTGCCTTGTGTCCAGTGGGGTGCCAGTGCCAGTGATGGTTTCCGGGGTCCAGAAGGGTCCACATGGTCCCTGCCACAACAAAACTCCTGGTTGGCGAGAAGGCTTAACTTAGAGCCCATTCAATTCTGTACAAGTGCTACTGTTCGTTGATAACTTTGTAAAGTACGTGTGAGGATTATCATAGCAAACCCTGACCAAAGCAGAGAAAGGAGAAAAATCCAGGAAGAGTTGTGGGTCTGATGCAGCTGTGCTCTGATTTCCAGGTCAGGAGTGGCACTTGAAGGGAGTGGACGGTTAATCCTGCAGCTCTGTGCTATGACCAGAATCTGTCATTTGTATCTGGCCGATGGCTACACAAGGCCCCCTGTGGGTTGATTTCTCCTAGGTCCACGTCCCTCTGTGCTGGGTCCTCGCTGCTCCTCCCACCCACTGGTGGGGGTTCATTTCTCCACCCTCTGGAATCTAGGTGGGACCTGTGAGTTGCTTTGGCCGGTAGAATGGGGCAGAACTGACATTCTGAAATTTAAGAAGCTTTTTAAGAGAGCTTTTGCCTTCAACTTGGAGAGAAACATACTTGCCGTGTAAACAGCCCAGAGTATCCGTAGCGAGAGAGGTCACAAGGAAGAAAAAAAGCGATTTCGGGGAGCAGAGAGGAGTGGTCCCTAACGAGCCCTGCCAGAATTTCTGATCTTTAGTATCAGGAGCAAGTGGAATGATTGTCTTTTTCTGCCACTAAGATTTGGGGCGATTTATTAGGCAGCAGTCAAAAATGGATACACGATCACGTTCACTTTCTTTTTTTTTTATTTTTATTTTTATTTTATTTTTTTATGGGGCGCCTGGGTGGCGCAGTCGGTTAAGCGTCCGACTTCAGCCGGGTCACGATCTCGCGGCCCGGGAGTTCGAGCCCCGAGTCGGGCTCTGGGCTGATGGCTCGGAGCCTGGAGCCTGTTTCCGATTCTGTGTCTCCCTCTCTCTCTGCCCCTCCCCCGTTCATGCTCTGTCTCTCTCTGTCCCAAAAATAAATAAACGTTGAAAAAAAATTTTTTTTTAATTTTTTTATTTTTATTTTTTATTTTATTTTAATTTATTTTATTTTTTTTTTAAATTAAAAAAAATTTTTTTTAATTTTTTTTTTCAACGTTTATTTATTTTTGGGACAGAGAGAGACAGAGCATGAACGGGGGAGGGGCAGAGAGAGAGGGAGACACAGAATCGGAAACAGGCTCCAGGCTCGGAGCCATCAGCCCAGAGCCCGACTCGGGGCTCGAACTCCCGGGCCGCGAGATCGTGACCCGGCTGAAGTCGGACGCTTAACCGACTGTGCCACCCAGGCGCCCCTGATCACGTTCACTTTCAAGTGGCACCCAGGGTGATGGGGTTGGAACCCCCAAACTTACAAATATGAAACAAATGTTTTTTTTAGTAAATACTTTGTGCGTTGTCATATATTGGAGAGAGGCCGGTCTTGGATCTGGGTTTGGATCCTGGCCCCCGTGAGTGATCTTTCTGACCGTGAGTTTCCACATCGGTGAAACGAAGGAAGAGTATCATGAGTATTACAGGAGATAACAAAATAAAGCGTATGGGACATAAGGAGCACCCGACAAATGATGGCTATTAGTTTACTTTTGTTACTGCAAAGAAGGTGGGTTGCTTGCTTCCGGTAGGATTACAATTTAGTGACTTTAGGGAATGAAGATGATAAATTCTAGACCAACCGCCCAACAGTACAGGCAAAGGAGAGAGGGATTCCTTCCGGGGAGTGGCTCCTTAGAGGAGGTGGCATTTAAACCAGGACATGCAGGGGTGCCTGGGTGGCTCAGTCGGTTAAGCGTCCGACTTGGGCTCAGGTCATGATCTCACGGTTTGTGGGTTCAAGCCCATGTTGGGTCCTGTGCTGACAGCTCAGGGCCTGGAAACTGCTTTGGATTCTGTGTCTCCCTCTCTCTCCACCCCTCCCCCTGCTCATGTTCTGTCTCTCTCTCTCTCACAAATAAATGAACATTAAAAAAATTTAATAAAACACCAAACAAACCAGGACATGCAAAAGACTTAAGATCGTAGCAAGCCAGTGTCCTAGATGACAGGCAATCTCCTTAATGACAGCAATTCTTGTCCCCTGGGGTTTTATGTGTTGTTGAGTTTTATTCCTTGTTTGTCTTTACAGCTTTTTTTCTTTTCTTTCTTTCTTTCTTTCTTTTTTTTTTTTTTTACTTTTAATGTTTATTTATCGACAGAGAGAGAGAGACAGAGCATGAGCAGGGGAGGGGCAGGCAGAGAGCAGGGACACGGAATCCGAAGCAGGCTCGTCGGTGGGAGGAGGCCAGCATCACGGTATGTGAGAAGACAGCAGGTTTGAAGAAGGATTGGAGTTCAAATCCGGAGGCAACCGCTCACTGCCCGGGCGGCCTTGCGGAAATTCCTTCTGCTTCCCGAGCTCCTGTTATCTCATTTGCAAAATGGGCACCCAAATACCACCTTTATGCAGTCCTTAGGAGATGAAACGACCTCACGAAGGAAACACATCCGATCCGGGGGGCTACTAAGTATCTCTTCCTTTCCTCCAGGAATATGTAATCCCCTCCCACGTTCCAACTTGTGTTTTGGCCAATAACTCTGGTTTGTACATACGCTTAGCAGGCAAAAAAACCGAAGGGACTGAGTTTAGTAATGCCCCTTGGGTTGTGTCCTCTGGTGACTCATCTGGAAAATAGAGCCAGGTTATTGAGCCAGTGTTCTGTTGGCCTGTCCTTGAGGTCTGGGGGTCCTAGCTAACGGGATCCAGTTTTCCCAGACCAGGTTCTGGAAGGCTGTGGTTCAGGGAGGAGTTGGATTCATGGCCACTGCGTGCCAGATGCTGCCCCGGGCCCTGGGACTACAGAGAAATTCTGCCTCTGAGTAGCTCAGAGCTTAGCAAAAGAGACCCACTGATGTAAGTAAAGGGCCTGACCTTGTAGCTTGGGCTGCAGGTATGGTTCTCCCCAGGGGTGTCCTGGGATCTTCTGTTTCCTGTTCTTATTACTCCTCCAGTAACCCAGTGAGATGCCCTGGGCACTTACGAGTATGTGAGGAGGCCCGGTCCTGTGGTCTCTTGGGTCATCGCAAGAAACCAGGAGTTAAACCACCCTCTCTGAGGCAGGAAATCCCCACCTTCCATAGGAGATAGCTGGTGCTGGGTGGCTGCCTGGAGGAGGCAGCTGGCACCGTGGCAGCAGGAGAGGGAGTCTGAAGGGGCCTTTCCCCTTTATTTTTCTTGCTGCTATCCATCAGGTTTCTCCTGCCCGAGGTGGTTTCTGTCTGGTTTTTGTTTTCAGTCAATTTACTTAAATTCCAGTCAATCTCCTTCCCAAGGCTAAACTTGGTAACTAACCAAACAGACAGAATCTTGCCCGATAAACCTTGCCAGGTATGGCCGTAAATGCTTTACTCACCAACATTCATGTTCTTTTTCCTTCTTTCCGGGCGTGGAGCTCGGACGACATTTCCAGACTCCCTTGCAGCTGGGTGTGGCCCTGTGACTGGGCTCTGGCCAGGGGAAATGGGAGTGGAGGTCGTTCCACCTCTTCTGCTTTCGATCCTTATTCTCTCCCTTTGCTCACCTGCTGCACGGAGAGATCTCTGAGCGCCTGCACGGTGGTGGGGGGGGGGGGGGGGTCCGGGTTCCTGGCCAGGGCCGAGTCAGGAGTCCCAGATGAAGGAGAAACAAGGAGCCCTAGGGCAACAAGTTAAGATCTTGAGTCCTGTGAGAACTGGCAGTGTTGGCTTGCCTTTGGGACGCAAGCCTGGGGAAGGGAGCTTGCGATTCAACAGGAGGGGAAGCCATCCGAAGTCTCTGCACTGCTGGAGACTGGCTGGACCTAGGCAGGTTCTGCAGGGACGTGCCGATGTGCATCCGAGGTATTCTGGGTAGAGGGTGGCGAGGGATGGTGGGCTTGGGATCCAGGCCTCTGAGACATCTGGTAAGAGAAGTTCATAGGAGTCTGGGACTCGTGGGTAAGGTGGGAGCTGGAGGGGAGTAATGAGAGGAGCAGGTCAAGACGGACCTTTGCGGGACTGATGGACAAAGGAGGGCTGGGGAAGGTCCTACAGGCCGCCTGGCTCCAAGCACCAAGCCTCCTTTCCTGCTGAGAACACAACCATGCAATGCCTGGATGGTTTCTTCAGCCTCAGCAGCATCCTCCTTAGACCAGCTGTCAGCCGAGGCCCAAACATGCCCCCTTGGTGGACCCCAGCCACCAAGGCAAGTCCCATTCTGGATTGGGCCCCTGCTCTCCTAAGGCTCCTTCTCCATACTTTGGTTTTCTACCTTCCTTGCCTCAGCCCTGGTGCTGGATTTGGAGTCGGTGGCATAGGCCTCTGGCTGCAGAATTCATTATGGGCCCCGCTCTCCTCCCCACTGACAGTCTGACTCAGGCGTGAGTTCACACTTTGGGAATTTTAATGAATGCTGAGCATCCCAGCCAGCCCAGATTTCTCTGTTTCTGTGCCAATGTCTTCTCTAAGGTGATCCCTTCCCATCTGTCATCCTCTGTACCAGACCTCTTCTGGCCACTTAATTAAAGTCCCCCCAAAAAGAAGAAAGCACTTGCAAGGTGTGGTGAATGTTCCATTAAGCTAATTGACCAACATGTCTGAACATTCATGTGGTTCTGTTTACAGAGTCTGACCTGGGTCAGATACATTTGCCTCAAGGGGCTCATTTTTTTTTTTTCCTTCTTGAAACTTTTTTCTTTCTTTTGTTTCTTTCTTTTCTTTGTTTCTTTTTCTCTTTTCCTCTCTTTCTTTCTTTCTCCCTTCCAGGTTGATTTGAGCCCAAATATTCCTCTAACCTGCTAAGTTGTCGCAGATGACTTTCTGGCAACGCAATAGTGTAGGTCTATCTGCTTTGGTGTTACAGGCTGTAGAATGATCAGGTTTGGTAAAAACCACTCAAAGGACTTCTTGCAGACCTCACAGAAGCGTTATTGGGCACTGCTCTTGACATCCTCAGTCTGGAGATGCCACCTTGGTCCTTGATTGAATCCCTTAACCACTGGGATTCCCCTCCTATATCTAAGTCTGCTTTTCCAGAAACCACCAGGTGGGGAGTGGTCTCATTTGTTAAGAGAGGATCCTCCAGCCACCCTGGAGGCTAGAGACTCCACAAGGAAGACAATGCAATCTGCCACTCCAGTAGAGAGGGGCAAGCCTTAGGTTTGGACTGGATCTGATAGGCCTCTGTCAATCTCAGGCTAAACAAAGCTATCACCGTGAAGTTAGTTTTAGACTGCAAAGGGCTGATGCAAACGTTGGTCATTTGTTACCATTTCCAGTGAGTTCTGAGACCCTACACTCTCAGAAGACAGGAAAGGGAGGGGAGGCGAGGGCTTCAGCTGCGGGTTCATGAGAGACACCCCCCTGGTCGGTGAGCAGCGAGCAGGGAGGAAGCACGGTGCAGGATTACCGGTGCTACGATTGCAGAAGGTTCATTTTTCTAAAGTGCAGAGTAACAGGTCTTTGTGGTGAAAGGGAGCTTCTGAAGTGTTGGACGGGAAGGAGGCCACCGGGATTGCTTAACCCACTTGCCTTCCCTCTGCTGCTCTGTCTCCTTCCCACCCAGGACTCCACAGTCAAGGGAACCGGGGTCCAGGGAGGAGAAGGGACCAGCCAAGGTGTCACAGCGAGCCAGCGACAGGCCTGGACTGGAGTCTGGGCCTCCTGACTGGCTCCAGGCATTTTTTTCTCCCTATGCATTTTTTTCTGGTTCTTGGTCAGGGACACTCTTAATTCAATAAAAAACAAAACCCACAATTTCCTTTCTAACCGAAGACATCCCATTCTGTCTTTGGGTGTAGCAGCACAACTAGAAACCAATTGGCAGCCTGGCAGTGTGCTCTTGCAGGCGGGGTGTGAGCTGGGCCCTGGCCTGGTGCCTGCGTCTCTGGGGCCGCTGATGGTTAGGAAAAGGTCAGCCCAACAGTCGGGTGGTGGTCACGGAGGGGTGTGGGAGGGGCCTCCCAGCAGGCCTGTAAGAATAACCAGGTCTTGGCATGCACTGGACCGTCCAGGGACACCCTGAACTCGCCTGCCTGGAGGCCTGCTTTGCCCTAAGCCCGTGGATGCCTCTCCTACAGGCTCTGAGTCCCCGAGGCACTCTGACGGGGGGGCAGGTCTAGCTGTTTGGCCTCAGCCGTCTCTCCCTTAGTGGGTGTGGAGTGGTCTCGCGGCTCGGAATGAGGCTGGGGTGGCCCGCGTGCCTTAGGAGGATGGCAAGACCTAACGCTTACTGAGACGTCACAATCCGCCAGGCGTGACTGTAAGTGCTGCTCTAAGTGCTGTTACTCTGAGTGTTCAGTCCTCCTGACAGCCCTCGGAGGAAGGTGCTGTTTTGAATATCTGTAGCATGCAGATGAGGAAACTGAGGCACGTCGGGCACCCCTCCACAGCCAAGCAATAGCCGAGCCTCAGCAACCAGAGCTGTGATGTCCACCTCTTTGGACCCCAGTTTCTGGCCTAGAACATAGGGTGATGCCTCAAAGCTTGGAGGGCTGCTGTTGGGATTAGAGAGCCTGTGTGTGTGCACCGCCCAGCTTCGGTGCCTGGGAACTCACTCGGGCCATGTTTGTGACTGAGGCTCATGGCTCTGGAGATCAGGCTTTGGACTCGAGAACCATCCGTAATGAGGACCCCAACGTTAGCTCGTGGATCCTGACGCGTTAGCTGGTGAACATGACGAGCCTGGGGGGCTTTTTAGGATGGGCGCCACCCGTGAGTGACCAGCTGCTGTGTGTCAGTCTCAGCTCACTTGGGCGATGGCAGAGCACACAATCCAGAAGATCAAGAAGTGGCTTATGCATCACTCAGAAAATGGCAGGCACACTCAAATGAGGACCCAGCGAGAAGTTCATGTGGGGGCTCTCCATGGCGCCGTGGCAGGGTGTAGGGAACCCACAAGGGATGTGGTTGAACCCTGGAATAAGCAACAGAGAGGCTCCTTTACCATCCCCAGCTCTGAAGGAGCCACGGAAGAGAAGGCTGTGTGAAAGCCCCTGCCCGGGGTAGCAGCTAGACCCGGGTAGCAGGTGAGAGATTCAACCAGCCTATGGCGACCAGAAAAACAGGGAACTGGGCGGGGGAAGGAATAAGTACACCAGCCTCTATTTTCTATTCCTCTAATCTCCTGATTGTCTTTTCCATTGTTCCCATTGTCCAGAGGGCAAGGACGCCCAGCCATATAATCTATACAAGTTAGCCAGCAAGAAGAGAAACGTGGTCAGTGGTGGGAGGGGCGTGGGGCTTAGCGGACATATTGGCAGGTGACCTTGTTGTTTCTGCCTTGGGGTTAGCGGAGATGTGTTTATTTACACAGAGGAAAAAGTGCTATGCTGACCTGGTCTATTGTCAGTGCGGACCACGGGCTGTTTCAGACCAAGGGAGGGCTCTGGGTGGGAGAAGAGAGATGAACCCAAGACAAACCACAGTTTAAAGGGCGGGGCCCACTTTAGTGAATAGATTCTGACTTTCGGAGGAGGTGGGGCTGAAACCGAGAGGTCGAACATCCACCTCCAATTCTGAGTGGTCTTTAAAAGCACAGGCTGCCTGAGTTCAGATTCTAACTGTGCCAGCTATGCAAGCTTGGGAGAGTTACTTAACCTCTCTGTGCCTCATTTTCTTCATCCGTAAAATGGGAATCATGCCATTACCAGTCTGATGGGGTAGGGGTGCAGATTAAATGAGTTAAAATATTCAAAGCACTTAGGACAGAGGCTAGTATATAGTAAGTGTTCAATACTTGTTAGCTACTATTATTGTTACCGGTAAGAGTGCTGAACACAGTCTTTAGACTCATATACCAGTCTTTGCTCTCCCATGACTTCCTTTGTGACCTTGGGCAAGTCATATTCCCACTTCGGCTTTGGCTTTCTCTTCCCTAAAGTTCCTGAGCACACCTTTTGGCTAAAAAAAAAAAAGTTCCAAATGCTGCAAGTCCCAAGTCCATCGCGGATTTTGCAAAGCCCCCCCCCGCCCTGGGGAAATGTGTTTCCAAGGCTTCTCTGACTCCTGCCAAAAGAGAGCTCAGGTTTCTTCCCTTAGCATCAGCTGGAGGAGTTTCCAGCAAGAGGGTCGGTAAGGCTCCTCCCTGCAGGTGTCTCGGGGCTGCGTGCTAATCTCTTTTTGATGGCCTCCACCTGCAGTAGGTCTGGAAGCTGCCAGGGGAAAGGACAGGCCCTCTGCTGCTGGTCCTTGGGGCAAATCACTCACTTCTGAAGGTCTCCCCCTAGAGGCCCGAGGCCCGCCTTGCTTGCGGAGGGCCCTGAGCTGGCGGGGGGGGAATGTGCAGGACTGCCAGGAGGCTGTCACGCCATCCCTGGCTGGGTAGCGTGGCCCAAGGCCATTGCATACTCTGAAATCCCATCCTGGGGTTTTCAACTGCCAATGGGATCTCCGATGGCTCGAACTCAGGAAATTTGCCTTCTAGCCCTCTCTCTTCCTGTTTCCTCCTCGTGTTTCTTCTGTTTCTTTCTCTCCATAAGTCGCAAGCCCCTTAAACACGGCCCAGGGCGTCGGCCCAGAGGTATCTTCCAGCTCTCCTGTTCTCTGAGCTCCAGCTACTCTGGCGGCCTCCCCGTGCCTGGATCGTGCCACGTGTTCTGCACTTCAGGGACTCCGCACATGCTGCTCTCCTGCCTGGAACGCCTCTCCAATCCCTCGTTAGCTCACTCCTACTCATCCTTTGGATCTCAGCCTGAAGCCCATTTCCTCCCTGGAGCCTCCCCTGACACCCGAGATGACCAGTGGTTTAGAGCGTGTGGTCAGCATCTATCTGCATGGTGATGGCGATGGTGAGGGCAGGGCCGTTTCTGCCCAGTTCACGCCGGACCCCCCGCGCCTAGGACGGAGTCTGGCCCCAGTCGCTGTCTGCAATGACTCGGTCCTTCTCCATTCGTTGCTTCTTCGCTTAGTCCTCCTTCTTGTTTTTTTCCTTCCCATTTCCTCGTCTACCATGTAAACCTGGGGATGTCAGACCCCTACTAAAGACGGTCTGACTTTCTCACCTTCCTGGCTAAAGGTTTGCCCCATGAGGCTCAGCAAGGACAGCTGCCCTGCCCGCTGCACCTGTGCCCACCGCGTGGTCCCTCATGTGCACACTGTGCTTCCCCGGCTCCAGGCTTTGTGCAGGCTATTCTCTGCTCCATCACCCTCACTGGCCGTTACCTGGTTATCTCCAGTTCTTTTGGTTCACAGCTCAAGGCTTCCTCCTCTCTCTTTTTAAAGTTTATTCATTTTTTGAGAGAGAGAGAGAGAGAGAGCATGAATGGGGGGGAGAGGCAGAGAGGGAGAGAGAGAATCCCAAGCAGGCTCTGAACCATCAGTGCAGCGCCTGTCTCATGAACCGTGAGATCATGACCTGAGCCAAAATCAAGAGTCAGACGCTTAACTGACTGAGCCACCCAGGCACCTCTCAAGGTTCCCTTCTCTTGGAGATCTGCCCATAACCTTCTGGGCCAGCCAGTTTCCTCTTCCATCTCCCGAAGTCCCCTGAGCCTCCTTTCCTTGGGGTTCTGACCGTGCTTAGCTGGACTTGTGTCTTTGCTGGTCTGCATTCCTCCCTGCAGTGGGAAGGACCCTAAAGGACTATGCCTTTCACTTCAGAATCCCTGCTACCTTATATGGATTGCCTTGCACGTAGCAAGTACCCAGCAAAGTTTACTGAATGATGGGTTTTGTTAATGATCTTAGTTAACCAGGTCACATCCAGCTTTGTAGGAGAGGACTTATCATTTACTACCCGGATGACATTGTTGGCTGGGTACATAACAGCTATTTTACCCTTGCCGAGGACACTCAATTTGGGGACATCCTGTGCTAATGGGAGACTATCCTCAGCGCCAGGAGGATGAATCATGACTGGTTTAAGCCATCCTTGGTGGTCTCAAACTCTTTCTTAGGATTGGTTTGGGTACGGACATATGAATCAGTCATATGGGAGATAGGACCTGAGCAGAAACCCACTTGGGGCTTCTGGGAAAGGATTTCATTGCTGATAAAAGAAATCCACAGCAAAAAAAGTGTCCTCTTTGTTTGGATAATGTGTCCTTAAGTGACCCTTGCTGCAGCCATCTTGTGACCACGAGGAGAGAAACCAGCAACGTGCTGAGCCTTTGATATCTTCCTGCCCTCGAGTTAAGCAAACAGAATCTCCCCTCGTTTCCGGTTCCTAAGCCCTTTACTGCTTAAGCCATTTTAAATCAAGTCTTCTGGGGCGCCTGGGTGGCACAGTCGGTTAAGCGTCCGACTTCAGCCAGGTCACGATCTCGCGGTCCATGAGTTCGAGCCCCGCGTCAGGCTCTGGGCTGATGGCTTGGAGCCTGGAGCCTGTTTCCGATCCTGTGTCTCCCTCTCTCTCTGCCCCTCCCCTGTTCATGCTCTGTGTCTCTCTGTCCCAAAAATAAATAAACGTTGGAAAAAAAAAATAAATCAAGTCTTCTGTTACTCTTAAGCTGAAAACATTTTAACCGGTTTACTGCCTGTGTGTGCATGAGCCAGTCACTTATTCCTGCTAAGTGTTGGCTTTTTTTATCCATAAAAAAAGATGCCCAGTCTTTCTGCACATCCATGCATCAGCATCTTATAAAAGAAGTGAATTTACTTGGAATGAGGGCCGATCTATGCAAATGGAAGAAGGGGTCGGCAGTAGCCCCCATTTGGGGGCTGGATGAGATAAACACGTTCAAAATAGCTTGTTCTTTTTTTTTTCCTCTTCCTCCTTTATTTTTTGACCAGGTAAGAGGCTTACACATCAAAAACTCTTGAATTAGGTTCCACCAAAGCAGGAGGCTGGCTCTATCTGAACTACTCTCCCACAAGCTGCAAAATCCAGAAGCAACAGGAATATATGAAGCTCTACCCGTGTCAAAATGTCTTCACTAGATTGATCCGGGCACATAAATTGTTTTTTCTAATTCACCAGAAATCGGCTTCTAAAGAAACGGGAAAAAAAGCCCAGAGTGACATAAGGGGAAAATTTCCCCTCCAGCCCCCTCTCCCACCTGCCAGTTGCCCGCCAGTCCTCCCAGCCAGCTGCCGTGTCTTGCTCATGTCGTTTCTCTACCTAGAGATGTGTTCTGTGCATACAGCCATAGAGCGCACAGACCCATTGTACAATTCCCACACGTTAAAAAAATTTTTTTTTTAATTTTTATTTTTGACAGAGAGAGAGAGAGAGAGAGAGAGCGAAAGGCAAGGAGGGGCGGACAGAGAGAGAATCCCAAGCAGGCTCTGCACGGTCAGCGCACAGCCCTATGTGGGGCTCAAACTCACGAACCTCAAGATCATGACCTGAGCCAAAACCGAGAGTTGGTCGCTTAACTGACCGAGCCACCCAGGTGCTCTGCCCGCCTGAATCTTAGTCACGGAGTCAGGCCCAAAGGAAAAAGACTTCAAGTCCCTCTTTTCGCCGCCCTCATACCACACCTGTTGCAAATATTATCCCGGGCCAGTCTGATCACCTTTCTTTGCTCCGCAAACAATCGTTGCGGACATAGGACAGGTATTCTTGTGGAGGGGCCCTTTCCGAATGAACGGGCTAGAGGAGAGCCTAGAGGTGATGCAGCGAGGAGGACAGGAAGCCCAGAGAGGGGCGGTGATTTGTGCAAGCTGTCTTCTCTCCGTCGTAGCGCTCTTCTGGAAACCTTCTCAGGAAGACCTCCACGTGATAAAGGTCACGTCTTCAACAGGGTTCTCCATGGTCTCCTCACCGTCGCGTGCACGGTCCTGTCCCGTGGCATGGGACGACGTAGTTCACTCACTCACTCGTCCACTCACGTTCACCACGGTCTCGGATGGGTCACCAGAGGTGGAGGGGCTGTGTGCGGGGGGTTGCTCTGCCCTGCGCTGGCCGGTCCTTACCAGAAGCAGGGAGGCCGGTCTGACTTCCTAGGCCTCCGTTCCCTCCACCTGCTGATATCGCTTTAGAGAGGATCTGGTGTTAACACCCTCATTTTATAAATGGTGAAACTGAGACTCAGACTCGCCGGGGGTCACAGAGCCTCATCTCAGCGGCCGGTCAGGACTCTTATCAAGGTCCCTGGGGGCACCTGTAGTGGCTCAGTCTGTCACGTGTCCGACTCTTGATTTCGGCTCGGGTTATGATCTCACAGTTCATGGGATCGAGCCCCACACTGGGCTCTGCGCTGACAGAACAGAGCCTCCTGGGGATTCTCTCTCTCCCTCTCGCTCCGCCCCTCCCCTGCTCACGCTTTCTCATGCTCTCAAATAGATAAACTTAAAAAAAAAAAGGGGTCTTTGGACTTGGGGGCTAACGCTCTTTCTGCTGTGTCCCCGTGCAGGCCAGGCACCTGTCAAGCTTCTTCAAATGGAGATTCAGATTCCCAAGGTCCAGTGGGGCCCGAGGTTCATGAATGTGTAAGGGGCTACAAGGGATCAGCCTTTGAGGCGCACAGCTGTCGGGGACCACAGACTTTGGAGAGTAGGAGGTCCCCGAGAAGCAAAGGTTGCTGCCACAACCCGGTGTCGAAAGGCCGGGGCCGGCTCCTCTTCCAGCCACGCGTAAACCAGGTGCCGTCACCAGGCGGCAGGAACACCTGGTTGTGGGGGTCACAAATTTGCTCAGGAGCCTGCCTGTTCCTGACGAGGCTCCCCACTAAATCAGTCATCTGACAGAATGGGCGTGGACCGCCCGCGTGGGGGGCTCGCAACAGCGGGGCCCCAGCAAGGGTGTCCGCAGCCCTGGCTGCTCTCGGGTGGGCGGGAGCCAGGCCCAGGTTTGGGGCTGGGACCTGCTTGCTCCTCATTCACCGGGCCGCCTGGGGGGAGCGGTGTCCCCACTCTGGGCCTCAGTTTCCTCACCGGTGAGATGAGACGGGATTTGCCTCCTCACACAGGCCGTCGGGAGCTTACATGACGCAGTGAGAGTAAAGCCCTCAGCTGGCACGTAGCAAAAGCTTGATGGATGGTCACTTTCCTTTTCACTTTTATGGGTACCCGGTCTTCTAGGGAATTTCTTGGCAACGCGGGACGGAAGAGAGAGGAGTGGAGTATTTCTCAGCCTCCTACACGTGGGGCTGGCAGGCTGGGGTAACCGTGGGAGGGATCCTACATCCCGACATCCACGGTGCACTGGAGCAGAAATCTGAGTGCCCTCTTGGCCTCTGCCCTTTTTCTCACTCCCCACATCCGGTCAATCGCCAATTCCTCGTCTTCCTCACTTCCGACTATCTTCCAGCTGATCTCTACCTCCGGAGCCTCAGTAAAGGACTGTGCTTGGTGATTCACCAAGTTTACGTAACTTTCCCAGCCCCCCTGCAAGACTCATGAGAGAGAGGGCTTACCACACCTGCTTTGCAGATAGAAAGATCTAGGCTGCCACGGTCAAGTGGCTTCCCCAGCCAGTCAGTGGCAAGGTCAGGATGAACCCAGGCCTGTCGGATAATGGAGACTGTGCCTTAGCTGTGAAATGAGGGATTTTGCTAAGCATTTTTTTCTTTTTAACGTTTATTTGAGAGACAGAGACAGAGCGGGAGCGGGGAGGGGCGGAGAAGGGGGAGACACAGAATCGGAAGCAGGCTCCAGGCTCTGAGCTGTCAGCGCAGAGCCTGACACGGGGCTCGAACTCACAAACCCCGAGATCACGACCCGAGCCGAAGTCGGACGCTTAACCGACTGGGCCACCCAGGCGCCCTGCTAAGCATTCTTTCCGTTTCAGTACATCTATCACTCGATCATGCCTCTGCTGGAGGCCGCTCTACCCCACCACTGGGCTGCTTCCCTTCCCTCTCGGCTCCAATGCCCCCGGCATCACAGCTCAGGGGCAAGGCCTGGCTGCCTGCCCAGGGCCCCCTTAGTCAAGCACATCTTTTGATCAAAAGTAGCACAGATTCGTCCTGATGTCCTGCATTTCCTCTGGAGAAATTATAGAAATGACTCTTTCACCACAGATGACTGCTGAGCTCCTTGAAATCCTTTGTACACCTCCCCTCCCCCATCTCCATCGTCCCCAACCCAAGCCACCGTCCTCTCTTGGGTTTCCTTTTGAGCTTCTAGAACCGGCATCTTCACTCTTCCAACCTCCACCCCGTACTGCAACAAAGCCCAGAATCCTCTCCTGGACCTACAGGGGCCCTGTGAACCCCTCCCTTCCGACCCCCACTTCTTCCTTTTCATGTCCACTTCCCTTCTGCAGTCGAGCTGGATGTCCCTCTGTTTGCACACCGGGTCTCCGCCCGAAGGCTCTCCCCCACGGCTCCTGCCGCAAGCCTCCTAGGGACGGCCTCAGCCCACACAGCCGGGCCTTGACCCTCTGCCCCGTCCCTCCCTGGAGCCCCGCGCCTCTCTACGCCCATGAGCCCGGGCTTTTATAACGAGGGCCTGGAACAGGTGGATCTCGATGAGAGGTAAGCACAAGACAGCTTTGCTTTCCTCTAATCATTGCCTTCAGATGGGCTTGATGGAACGTCCCTTTGTGGCAGAGCTGAACGTTTGCTGGCCTGAGTCTTCTCCAACGCCAACCTCGTTTCCAGTTTAGAATTCATTTTCTCCCTGTTTAAAAATTTTTTTAATGTTTAGTTTTGAGGGAGGGAGAGAGAGAGAGAGACAGAGGGTGAGTGGGGGAGGGGCAGAGAGAGAGAGAGAGAGAGAGAGAGAGAGACAGAGGGAGACACAGAATCCGAAGCAGGCTCCAGGCTCCGAGCCGTCAGCACAGAGCCCGACAACGGGGCTCAAACTCGTGAACTGCGAGATCATGATTTGAGCCGAAGTCGGGCACTCAACCCACTGAGCCACCCAGGCGCCCCTCATTTTCTCCCTGTTTTAGGCCAGGCTTTGGCCTGAGGGACCTCCAGTGGGGAAGGGAGGTACCTGCCCTCTTACCCCCCCCTCACTCCTCAGCTTTCTGCTTCTGGGTCTCTCAGGGTCAGGGATGCCACGGGGCAGGGTGGGGCAGCAGCACCTATTATGTGCTGATATTTGAACTGAGTGAACGAGGGCCATGGACTTTGGAATTAGTCCCAGTTTGGGGATTAGCATTGACTCTTACTCAGCACCTCGGGCGAGTTATCTGCCTTCTGTAAGCCTCGCTTCCTTTATCTCTAACGTGGGGCCGATAATCTCTACGTGGCAGGTTGGGGTGAAAGCAGATATGAAGGGAGATGACAACTCTAAGCAGCGAGTGCATAATTGCTGCTCTGTCAATGTGAATTCCTCTCCCGCATCTGGGACTGGGGGAGGGGTGGTAACGCATGTCCCATGGGGCTGTGCTCACAACTCCATCTGATAACGTGGGAATGGGGGATCTGAATAAAAATCATTTCAGGGGTGCCTGGGTGGCTCAGTCGGTTAAGCCTCCGACTTCGGCTCAGGTCATGATCTCGCGGTTTGTGAGTTCGAGCCCGGGGCCGGGCTCTGTGCTGGCAGCTCAGAGCCTGGAGCCTGCTTCGGATTCTGTCTCTCCCTCTCTCTCTCTGCCCCAGCCCCACTCATGCCCTGTCTCTCTCTCTCTCAAAAATAAAGAAAAACATTTAAAATAAACAAAAATCATTTCATTGCATTGGGACCCCCAAATGGTCTCTACTGATGCCTCTCACTTTAGGTGGTAACCTCAAGTCTCTAAAAGACACAGGCCAAAATTTCGGTTCCCACCGTGTGCTAGGCTCTGTCCTGGGCATGGGAGGCACACACGTTGGATGGACCCCATCCCTGACCCCGGAGAGCTCAGTCTCACGGAGGACAGAGACGCTCCCAGTTCAATTTTTGGACAGAGTGATGTGTACTTTTCCAGGATGCGAAAGAGCTATGGGAGCAAATTTTCTCTCGTGTGCATTCGATGCCAAAGCTGCCATAGGCTTGTAGAACTTGGAGGGACTTTAATATGACCCCAGCCACCCCTATATTGTGTGAGTGGAAAAGCAGAGGCCCAGACTGAGAAGGAAATGTGTAAGATCATACCGCTATGCGTTGGTCGGCTCAGGAGCACGGCGCACATCTCAGATACCCCTCTCCTTTGGCTCATTCCTACTTCTGGTCCTGTGTAAACGACCTTTCCTGAGAAATGTCTTTCCTCACCCTCTCAAGGGCCCCTGCCTCTTGTCCTCGGGACGCATCAGGGCTTTCTCCTGGCTCTTCTCCTCGGCGTTATTAAAAAGAGCCCCATAGGAAGTGAGGAGCGAGGGCGGAGGAAGGGGTGTCATTCAGAGTCCCCTTGCACCAAGCTCTGAACGAGGCGGTTGTCACGGAGGACCTCACTAGACTTTCTAGCACCCCGCCACCTGACGGTGCTGCAGAAGGAGACAGAGTCCAGAAGATTTAACTCGAGTCTAAATGAAATTTTTAATGATTTTTTTCTTAGAAGCCAAGAGGCAGGGCAATGGGCGATGATGACACTTCAAGTCACCCAGAGCCTTCCCAGGGGAGCAGGTAATTCTGAGTCCCATAGATCTCATGTCACCAAAAACCCGTGTGGGCAGGGCATGGTGGGGTGTCGACGGCAGGGGCCCAGGCACAGGGCATATCTCGTGGGTTCCATCCGCTGCTTGGTCTGCTGCATAGAGAGGCTTCCTTGAACCAGCCGAGGAGGCAGTGGCTGTTGCCTGTGGTCTGACCGTTCATTTGCTGCCCAGTATACCCAACCCCACTGGACACTGGCCCACATCTTCTTCTCCTCTTAGCTGTGTGACCTTGGGTAAGTACACACCCTCTCTGGCCTTCATACGTTTCACCTGTAAAATGGGGATAAAAGAGTATTCAGGGAATAGGTGTTCTGTGAGGATGAAACGTCAATGCAAGCAGACTGCTCGGATAATGACCCCAGTAACGAATGTTGATGGAGGCCCATGTTCCAGGCCCTGTTTGCTCTCCCCGAGAACCGTGTCTGGCTCTGAATGGGCAATGGTATTAATATGCCAGGGCTGCTGGAACCAAGCACCACAGACTGGTTGGCTTCATCTAGAGGAACTTGTCTTCTCAGAGTCCAGGAGGCCGGAAGTCCAAGGTCAAGGTGTTGGTCCCTTCTGAGGGCCCTCTCCTTGGCTTCTAGATGGCGGTCTTCTCCCCGTGTCTTCGCGCGGTCCTCTCTTTATATGTGTCAGGGTCCAAATTTCCTCTTCTTGGAAGGACACCAGTCATATTAATCAGGGCCACCCTAATGACCTTGCTTTGACTTATCCCCATGGAGACCCCATTTCCAAATATAGTCACATTCTGAGGTGACTGCAACACATACATTTGGCGGGGGACACAATTCAGCCCCTAACAGTAATGAAAAGAGGGTTTCTGAAAAACTCAATAATGGGGTGTGGGAAGGCAAGGGAATTACAGGTTCAGGCTCTAGAATTAGGTCTGGGCTCAAGTCGTGGTTTTGCCCTCTAGAACGGTGGGAGCTTTTCCAAATCACTTAGACCAGGGGTGGATGCCTTTGTTTTTTTTTTTTTTTTTCTTTGAAGAGCCGGCTAGTAAATGTTTGAGGCATTTTGGGTTCTGTATTCCCTGTTGTAACCACTCACCTCTGGTGTTACTGTGCAAAACCTGCTGTGGGCAATACAGGGATGGATGAGCAGGGCTGTATTCCAATAAAACTTTATTTACGAAAACAGGCCATGGGCCAGTTTGCCGACCCCTGAGCTTCGGTTTCCTCATTCGCAAATGAAGGTACTACTACGTTCCTCTCTGGGTCATTGCAGGAGTGAGTATGATAGTTAATAGCCCTTAGCTAAATTTTCCTGAGCTCTTACTCTGTGCCAGCCCTGCGACATTGTTGCTATTATTATTATTAGTGTTAATTTTGTAGCAGTGTGAGAGAAGCATCCTGGTCCAAGAGCTCTGGATTAGGAACCAGGAGATTTGAGCCTGTGACAGAGTTTCTCATCATTTACATGGTTTGGGACAACGATTTCCCTTCTCTAAACTTAGTGACTCCTTCGGCGCGACAGGGAACATAATGCCTGGCTCAAAGGCTAGAGAGGAGATGGGAACCTGCATGGCCTGTCCTCATGGCCCTGTAACCACAAGGAAAGGAAAGGAAGTCGCCCACCCTGCTGATGTTAGGTGAGCGTGGGAAGGCCTTGCCTCCGGCCGCCAATGGTTCCTGGCTGATGGCCCTCCTGTCACCCCCTTTTATCTGACATCTTGAACCCTCTTCCTGACTCGCTTCCCTACTCAGGCTCTCACCAAGCACCACTGCTGTGGAACCTGGCCTCTCCCACAGATTAGAAGGGACCCTTAGGTAGGAAGTGCTTTCACTGGCCAAAATGGAAACCTTTCACGGGGCTGTCCAACCTGGACAGTGTCCAGGGCTGTGAGGAAGAATTTCCTTTCTGGAATGGGGATTGGATGGGGGCAGGGGGGACAGTGTGAAGATAACTATGCAGCAAAGCTGCTCACAGCCCTGGAGGAGACAGACCCCAGAGCTGTTCAGGTTTTAGGCAAACATTCTTCTTCTTCTTCTTTTTTTTATGTTTTTTTTTTTTTGGGGGGGGCCAACGGGGGGGGGGGCAGAAGAGAGAGGGGGGGGGAGGCAGGGGATCTGAAGCGGGCTCTGTGTTGATAGCCGTGAGCCTGCTGTGGGGCTTGAACTCACGAACCGCGAGAACATGACCTGAGCCGAAGTCAGAGGCAAACGTTCTTTTGAGGGCGGTGATTGCCTCGCAGAGCCAAGACTCTTTCCGACCTGACCCTCCCTTGTGTTGTGCGCATGTGTGTGTGCCCATGTGCACCTGCAGGTGTGGGGGGCAGGGAGGGGTGGCTGCTGAAGGGCTTCACCTGTCGCTGGGAGGTCAGAGCTTGCCAAGAGGGTGTGAAGGGGGAGGCTAATACACCTGCTGTCTCTCCGGCATGTCTGTGCGCCAGGCGCTGCCCTGGGCGGTTTATATACATTATTTCCTTTAATAATGAGATAGCATTACCCTTCACCATTTGGAAATGTGGGGACTGAGGCTCAGAGAGGTTAAATTTTTCCCCAGGGCCACACAGCTGGTAATGGAGTGGAGGAGGACATAACTCCAGTGTGCCTGGGTGTGAGAGTGCACGGAGAAACTTCGCTCTATCCTTCCTTTTTTTTTTTTTAACATTGTATTTTATTTATTTTTATTTTTATTTTTTATTAAAAAAATTTTTTTAATGTTTATTTATTTTTGAGACAGAGAGAGAGCATGAATGGGGGAGGGGCAGAGAGAGAGGGAGACACAGAATCGGAAACAGGCTCCAGGCTCCGAGCCATCAGCCCAGAGCCCGACGCGGGGCTCGAACTCACGGACCGCGAGATCATGACCTGAGCTGAAGTCAGATGCTTAGCCGACTGAGCCACCCAGGCACCTTTGTTTATTTTTAAAACATATTTAT